TGACAGAAAGTTAGCCTATTGCAGTAAGTTTTGATATTGGTAGCTATTTAGCTGTAAGTTTCCTGTAAAATTTTGAATTTAGCATGGTATCACATAATTTACAAAGTTTCATGTGCCAAATCCTTCAATGTGCAACAATAAATCTCGAACTAGTGTCAGTCTGAGGAATATTTTGAGAAACTAGAGTTTGAACTTAGTGGGCGTTTGGACATAAGAATGGTAAAATTCCAAAATGGGGGAAAAAAAATTTCAAGTGAAAATGGTATTTGAAATTTAGAGTTGTGTTTGAACATGAATATAATATTGGGTTGTTTTTGAAGTTTTGTGAGTGATTTGAGTGAAAATTTTGAAAAATAACTTTTTGGAGTTTTTCAAATTTTCGAAAATTTTCAAAATGCATCTTCAAGTGAAAATTGAAAATTTTATGAACAAACGCTGATTTCGAAATTTTTTTGGGAAAAAAGAAAAAAATTTCTGATATCCAAACGGGCTCTTAGTACAAACAGTCTTTCTTCGTATACCTCTCTTTGTGTTTTCTCTTAAAATTGTTCTTTCTATTTAGTCAATTAATTATCAACTGATCTTCTTGTAGCCTTTATTTTAAAAGTTTGCTAAACCTGTTTAATTTTTTGATTTTCCTCGAGGTTACAGGAATTTGGCCACCATTAAGAGAAGGGGGTTATCTGATGAGGAGCTGAAGTGTTAACTGTTTTCAAACTTTGAGAAGTGGAAATATGCTAGTAGTTGTTTTGCTTCCCGAATTTGCTGAAACCTGAGTTTTGTGAAAGGAAGTCTGTTCAAGGTAGCTTTTGTTTGATTCTTAGTATAGAAATGTACTACCAAATAAAATATTAGAACAACACTACTATCCTTTGCTACTTCTGAATAATTGATCTACTAGCATCTAGTATAAAAGTGTTTCATTGTGTAAAAAAACAAATAAACAATGAAGTTGCAGAATCTTTTTCTCTTACTGTATTCACAGTATTTGCATCTCCTTATACAAGTAATCTAGCTAAAAGAAAATGTAAAATAAAATGATACTATACACTTGTTTAATTCCTATTCCCTAATGCTATGACAGAAAAGCTAATTTTATTCCCTCGCATGTGCTCACATGTGCATCTTACGTGTAAAGTAGCTTCATTCTATATTTTATTCATTCACATGTGCTCACATGCTCCTTCTTTACGGTTGTATTTACATATCAATGTCACATATTAAAATGCCTCAAGAGTCAAATATAAAAAGGAGAGATAGGGACTTTTATATAGAAAAGTACGAAGCCACATTTCTTTGTCCGAAGACTTTCTTTTTCTTCATTTCTAAACCTGATGAAACCCCCTTCTTCTTCTTTGTTTCCATTTCATCTTCTTTCAAATTAATATGGCGCTTCATCTTAACATCCCCCTTCAAGTTGGAGGGTAGAGAGAAAACCCCCAACTTGGGCAAAATTTGATTGTGAGAAACCCCTGTCAGAGGTTTGGTGAAAGGATCGGCGAGCTGAAGCTTTGAGGGAACGAAAGAGAGAGTGATTAAACCTGAGAGATATTGTTGGCGGACGAAGTGGCAATCCAGTTCCACATGATTAGTCCTTTCGTGGAAGACTGGGTTGCGAGCAATATAGATGGCCGCCTGACTGTCTGAGTGAACGGTGACTGGCAAAGTAGGAGGAGCGGAGAGATCAGCGAGGAGACAAACTAGCCAAGTTATCTCCGCAGTGACATGCCGCATGGAGTGATACTCCGTCTCAGCACACGACAACGAGATAGACACATATTTCTTCAATTTCTAAGAAATCGGAGCTCCACCTAGAGTAATAAAGAAGCCACTAACAGAGCGGCAGGAATCCTTGCAAGCAGCCCAGTCGGCATGGCATAAAGCAATCGAATCAAGAGAGGGATTTGCAGAGAGAAGTATGCCTTGTGCCGGATCGGAATGCAAATACTTCAAACACACTCAGTCCAACAGAAAAATGTGAAATTGAGGGCTTTTGCATGTACTGGCTAAGAGTGAGGACAACAACACAAATGTCTGGTCGGGTGTTGGTAAGATAATTAAGTTTACCAACAAGGCGACGATAGAGTGTAGGGTCATCCAATGGGGGCATCAATTTAGCATGCAATTTAGAGGAAGGATCGAGTGGAGAAGAAACAACAACTCCTGAGCAACCAAATTCCTCTAACAACTCTAAGGTAAACTTCCGCTGGTTGATAATGAAACCTTGTGGTTCTCTCATAATTTCCATTCCCAAAAAATAGTGAATGTCACCCAAGTTCTTGACTTTAAATTCTGAATTGAGAAAGTGAGTAATATGGTCTATTTTTTCCATGTCATTACCTGTTAATAGTATATCATCGACGTAAACTACTAGAATAGAAATAAGCTCTCCATTTTGTCTAAAAAATAAAGAATAGTCATTTAAGGAAGTTGAATAACCCTTGAAGCTAAGAGCACCAGCTAGTCTAGCATACCAGTGTCTAGAAGTCCGCTTCAATTCATAGTGAGATTTCTTCAAAATACAAACTTAATTAGGCTAGGGTGGAGATAGACCAGCAGGGAACTTTATGTAGACCTCTTCCTGTAAATCCCCATGCAAAAATGCATTATTAACATCAAGTTGAGACACATTCTAACCCTTAGTCACAGCCACTGTCAAGAGACATCTGATTGTGGTCATTTTGACCACAGGGGAGAATGTCTCAGAATAATCAATACCTTCTCTTTGAATATTCCCCCTTACTACCAATCGTGCTTTTAATCTTTCAACAGATCCATCTGATTTGTGCTTCACCTTGTAAACACATTTGCAAGGTAAGGCTTTCTTGCCTTGTGGCAAGTTTACAACATCACATGTGTTGTTGAGTTCAAGAGCTGCTAGCTCTGCCTCTATAGCTTGTCTCCAACCTACATCCTGAAAAGTTTGTGCATAATTGTGAGGTTCTGAGACAGAGCATACTGACCTTAGAACATTCTGATTATTGAGTGATAAATCTCCAAAAGATAGGGTAGTGGGGTGAGAAGCATGATTGAAATAAGAGGAAGTAATGTTAGAAAGAAAAATGGTATTGCATACATAGTCATTTAAATAACTAGGTTGCTGAGAAATTCGTTCAGATTTTTTGATAGGTGGTGGAGGTATAGGGATGGTGATACTAGAACTAGGAGCAGGTAAGGGAGAAGTGGGATTAGAAACTGGGGTGGAAGATGTTCTAGGGTTGGGAACAGTAAGTAAAAGAAGACCAGGAGAATTGTAATTGGGAGATGGAGAAGAGAAATCAAATGACCTAGGAGAGGGAAGTGTGATGGGGTTTGTATCTAGAGGGGCAATGTTGTTAGGAATAGGCCAGGGTGAAGGAGATGACGAAGGATAGGAAGGAGATGAAAATATAGAATTAGGTATTGTGTTGTCTGGGAGAGGTGCAGTTGGAGGAAACACCTGATAGCTTTGTGATGTAGGTGTGGTGACAAAAGGGAAATGGTTTTCATAGAACTTCACATCTCTAGACACAAAGATAGTCTTTGTCTTCAATTCTAAAAGCTTGTATCCTTTTTGATGTTGTGAATATCCTAGGAAGGCACATGTTTGTGCTCCAGGATCAAATTTTTCTCTATTGTGAGCTAAAGTAGAAGCATAGCACAAACATCCAAAAACTTTGAGATTATCATACACGGGTAGTTTGCCAAATAGGATTTGATAGGGAGTCTTTTCTTTAAGTACGCTAGAAGGGAATCTATTAACTAAGTAGGTTGCAGTCAAGATGCACTCACCCCAGTATTAGATAGGAACCTTGGATTGAAAGGATAAACCCTTTGCAACCTCTAGTAAATGCCTATGCTTCCTCTCAACTATCACATTCTGTTGGGGTGTGCCCACACAAGAAGTTTCATGTAAGATCTCCTGTGATAGAAGGAAATCAGATTGTTGTTATCCTTTTTCCCAGTTCCAAAGCATTATTAGATCTCACCTTCTTGACCTTAATGTTAAACTGTCTTTCTGTCATGGCAAAAAATGATTTCAAAACTGTGAATGCATTTGCTTTTGAATTTAGCGGGAAAGTCCATATTCCTAGGCTGGAATCCTTCGATGGTCACCTTGAGAATTTTAATGATGGATTAGAAGGAGCATTTAGGTGCCTGATTGGATTGAGGAGCTCTCTCCTGAATATATTCTCTCCTTGTGGCTCAATATGCATTCTCATGCGTTCCTTCCCCTGTGTACTTAAAAATAAGATATCTCGGAAAGAATGTGAACCTCATGAATTGTACCTTATAAAAGTTTGCTAGTAAAAAATGTAAAACTTCCTTCTCTTTGCCCCGGAGGGTGAGTTGTGTAGAAAAACAACTATGCAGTCAATAATTTAGTAAACATTAAACAAGCACAGCATAACCAGCCATACATAGATGCACAAAATTAAATATTTTTATTTCCAATACACTCGTGTATCAATTATTGATTTAATTAAAAATTGCTCTTTGAGTGAAGCATCCTGAAGAAGCCACCTACCGCTGGACTAATTAAAAGGATGAACATCATAGCCATATCTCGGGCATCTTTAACCAAGTCAAGAAGGAGGAGTTCTTAGCTGTAATCTTCCGGATGGAGCCAAGGAAAATATCAGGACATGATTGTACCGACATATATTAATTAGTTTTTCCCACCATTTATTGGAAGCATTACATTTAGTCCAGGAGCTTATACAGATATTCTTCCAACCCCTTGCCAACCAAATCCAAAAGAAAAAATCCCATACGTGTACAACTCCATAAGATAAACTTCAGTCGTGCATTTTGAACTTTATAGTTGATGTACTAGCCCCTCTGAGATCTTGACACCTTAAAATATTCCCATTATTCTGTCATTATTTACATTTCAAAATATTATGCATTCTAGTAGTTGATGGATTTAAGCCTTTATGGAGGAGACAGCCTTACCTGGCCACCTATAACATGACAGAGACTAACAAAACAACTGAATAAATAAAGTAGGCTTTTTGAAGTTGATGCATCTTCAATCAAATAATATCAATAGAAAAGTTTTTTGTCACAGTATTGGCACCATTTCTGGAGACAGAAAGAGGCAAATCATGCAAACACTTACATGATAATTATATTCCTCGTGTTCATCTTATAACTACGAGGATTAATGAAAGTAATCAGTACAACCTTTTGTTGGCCAAATGTGGAGCAGGTTTACAAGTTCCAAAAAGATCCAGCTGTGCAATCACATGCTGATTTAATTAGGCCATTGCTCATCTTGTCTCCTCCCATGGTTGTTTTCCTATAAATACCAACTCTCAAAATTAAATTCCATCAAAACTTTGCGAAATCCCCTAATCTGAAAGAAAACCATAAGAAATGGCTTCACTTTATTCAAAACCCAATCACGTCCGATCAATCAGTTTGCCTGGGAGATCACACCCTACCATCCAGAGAGTTGAAGAGGAGCTAAACAAGCTCAAATCATTGGAAGTATCTGTTGCACCAACAACAGTGAGCAATGGTCTAAAAGGTTTGGAGAAATTGTACAAGTGCATAGATGATCTTCTCAACTTGCCTCAAAACCTTCATGCCCTCTCCCAAAATCTACATGCAAAATGGGTTGAAGATCTATTGGATAAATCAATGAGGCTTCTTGATCTGTGTGG